GAGAGGATCACCGGAAAAGTCACCAAGAATAGAAGGAAACGAAGACGTCACCGGAAAATTGAGAGAAGTGGAGAGTCGAGATTAATGCAGAGAAAGAGAGAAGCTAAATGTTTGATTTCTTGATGACTAACAAATAGACGTTTTTGAACCTAAGATTTCTAGAAATTACATTAAATCGTTACCGTTCGATTGAAGTGACTACACGTGTTAACAATCGCTGATTGCTTCAAAAAATTTGGCGCCCTCATCTGTTACAAACGGAACTGTCGTTGCACGCGGGTAGTTTCCGTTAAACTTGACGGTCCGTGTAAAGCAATTTACAGTGCAGTCTAAAACGACGTCGTGTCTACAATTACTTCCACAAAACGCGAGGGTAAAAAGGTAAGTAACAGTAACAAAAAAAAACAGAGGTACAAAAAAACCCATTTTTAACTTCTACTAATAAAATTATTTTGCAAAAACGTTAGTCTATATATATATATATATATATATATATATATATATATATATATAGACAATAAATAATTATACCACTTTTCAACTTATAAGATTATTTTGCAACGGTGACGAACAAGAGAAACAGCCTTAAACGCTGAATCAGTGCACCCCTCTTCTTATTTTGTTTAGGGCAAAATTACAAAGTTTGATTTATAAATGCTTTTTCTATGCATGAGAAGTGTTGGCCCAAATTATCTGCTTATATAGAAAAAGCACAGCTAAAAGTGATCTCATCAGTTGATCGATGCCTAATAAATGGTTCAAAAACATAAAACTAAGCTTAAGTTAACCAAAATGCTATATACCTCTCTAATTGCACTAGTAGTTAGACCGCGGCGCGGATTTTAGTTTATGTTCATGTTTTTATATGTTTTAGATGTTATTTCTTAAGAAATAATTTGTTGATAATTTTTTCCTTAGTTTAATAGTCTTATTTTTAAGTTTGTATTTTGTTAACAATACTTGTGTTCTGTTAGTTATTTTTACTGTGTGTTTATATAACAATATATTTTTCTTAATTATGTTATTAACTTCTATAAAAAAAATTTCATGTATTGTTATATTTTATTTATTACTATTGTGTGATTATAATTTTTTAATTATTTTTACTCCCTGCAAATTTTTTTATTTTTAATCACCTATTATTACGAATTATTAAACAACTAATTCATTATATTTGTCTTTTTTTTCTTTTCTTTTTTTTTAGATTTTTATACTCTTTCTCCATCTTTATATTCTCATAATTTATTAGTTTTCTTTTTTGTTGTTTTCCTTATCTTTAATGTTTTTGTTTTCGTATTGTCTAAAATTTCTCTTCATTAGCTTCGTGTTCTTCATTCTTTTATTTTTTTAGTTTCATTTTTCTCTGGTTCTTGACTTCTACTTTCTCTAATTTTTTTTTCATTTTTTCTTCATCTTCTTATTCTGATATTGTTTCGTATTCATCTGCGTCTTTTTTATATATTTTGATATTTCTAAATTCTCCTATCTTTTAATTTTTTCATCGTTTTTTATCTTTTTTTTTAATTATCGTTATTTTTCTAATTTTTTCAGTTTAGATAATATATCATTTTTAATATAACATATATTTTTAATCTAATTATTATTATATTTTCTAACTATCTAACTATCACTTATCTTTTTATTTACACTAAAATTTTTTTTATTTTATTTAATTTGTATTAAATCTAGTAATAATAAATATAAATATACATGTATTAAATACTTAATTTAAATATGTTTTAATGTTAAATTTTAAGAGTTTGCTGATGTGGACACCCTAGATGAAGAGAAAACTCTCATATTACATATAATAGATTAGAGGCTTAAACTTGCGCACTCCACCATGAATATCAGGTCTGTTGGAAGTAATATGTTAAATCATTGGAACACATACTCATAAGAAATAGCTAACTGAAAGCTTAGTACAACAAAACCATACCTTTGATAATTCCATCATGTGCAATATTTTCCTGTGTATGCTTTCCGCCTCAGCCAGACGATTGGATCGTATATATATCTGGAACAACAGACGAACAAGTAAAAATGTTAAGAGTATCTGCTGTTGAGTGGATCTTGTCCAGTTCATGAAGGAAAAATTCAAATTACATGCAAACTTTAAAGCCACAAAACCTGAGAAAGATATCTCAGTCTCCTGATATAGGTCATTGACTCTCCTTGACCAGCTTCCTACATCACATAACCAAAAATACGATAAATAAGCGTAGAGCTGACAAAATGAAATGTCAAGATAGCACAAATATCAGTTATCATTAGGTTATCGACATGCCTCAAGTATTTTAAGATAATCCAGAATAAGAGCCTCCCCATCTGTTTCTTTTCCTTGCAGATGTAATACCTGTCGAATATCTTAGAAGGAAGTCCAAGATGAAAGATATAATCAGACTTCATGTCGGCTTGGACGTGTGATATTAGATGTAATTCATCACATGTCTGCATGAGCAAAACGCAGGATATTACGATCCTCCATAGATATATAAACAGACACATGATGCAAGAAGCACTACAAGAAAACATTTCATTTACAACGACCATATTCGTTGTAAATTCGTTGTAAATGAGTGTTTGCATCGATTTTACGACGAAAATCAAATCGTCGTGAATCGATCGTCGTAAATCAAATTTCGTCGTAAATTCGTTGTAATTAGCGACGATTTATATTCGTCACTAATTTACGACGATTTTACAACGATTTTTAATATATTTTTATTTTTTATTTTTAATTTTTTACAACGATTTTACAACGATTTTTATTATTTTTTTTTTATTTTTACGACGATTTTACAACGATTTTTTATTTTTTTTATTTTATTTTTACAACGAATTTACAACGATTTTATTATTTTTCCGGCGATGATGGCTCCGATGGTGATAGCTCCTCCGACGGTGGTGGCTCCTCCGGCGGCGGTGGCTCCTCCGGCGGCGGTGGCTCCTCTGGCGCCGGTGGCTCCTCCGGCACCGGTGGCTCCTCCGGCGCCGGTGGCTCCTCCGGCGCCGGTGGCTCCTCCGGCGCCGGTGGCTCCTCCTGCGCCGGTGGCTCCTCCTGCGCCAGTGGCTCCTCCGGCGCCGGTGGCTCCTCCTGCGCCAGTGGCTCCTCCGGCGCCGGTGGCTCCTCCTGCGCCAGTGGTCGCCGTTGATCGCCGGTGGTCACTGGTGGTCGCCGGTGGTCGCCGGTGGTGTTCGTCGGTGGTCGCCGTTGATCGCCGTTGATCGCCGGTGGTCACTGGTGGTCGCCGGTGGTCGCCGGTGGTCGCCGTTGATCGCCGTTGATCGCCGTTGGTGATCCGTGGTGGCCGGTGGTTACTCTGATGATAGTGATACACTGATTGTTTAATAGTTATGAGTATGTACATATATACTAGAATAAATTTTCCAAAACTACCGATGTGGGATTTTGTATCTTTTAAGAAATCGTTGTAAAATCGTTGCAATATACGACGATTTTACGACGATTTAATTTTTTTTTAGTAATAATTTTTTTTAAAAAAGAAAAATTAAAATTAAAAATTAAAAAAAAAAAATCGTCGTAAAATCGTCGCGATTTTACGACGATTTGATTTTTTTTTTTAATATTAATTTCTAAAAACAAAATATCGTCGTAAAAACGTCGTAAATGGCAACGGTTTTACAACGATTTTCTTTGCCAACGAATTAACGACGATTGTGTGCTAAATCGTCGTGAATTCGTCGTTAATTTGCGATGGCAATAATTCGTTGTAAAAAATCGTTGGTAACTCTGTCTTTTCTTGTAGTGAAGCTTAAGCACAAGAAGAAAAAGATATTACTTTATGTATACTAACAAAGGTAATCATATTTATAAAAAATTGCAGTTTTTTAATTTTGAAAATTATATCTAACTTGTGAGTTTTCATAGTTTTATTTTAAATCTATATATATATATATTCTGTTTAAAAAACTTATAATTTGATATAATATTTATAATTTAGTATACAAAAACTAGTAACAAAGTAATCAAATATTATTTAATGATCATAATATTGATATAAAAATTAAAAATTCTACTTCAGTTCTTCAAATAAAAAATTATTGTTTTTCAACATTTTAGTTTTATTTTTGATATATTTTCTATGAAATCATGAATATAATATATCTATATATATATATTATTTTACTTTCCTAGCTAATATAATCAATACAAAATTTCTGATTTAATATACTACATTGAAAAAGAAATTAATAATTTGAATTCTTTTTTTCGGTTCATAAATTTTTTTTGTTTTGTATCATATTATTTATGGTAAATTTTAAATAATTTTGAATGATTATATCTCATTTTTTCCAACCAAAGTGAATAAGTTTTTATTTTATTTCATTCTTTATGTTTTCTATAGAATACAAGAAAAATTAAGATAGTTAAAATCTATTCTTCTTCTTTAGATACTTTAATCAATACAAATTTTTAGTTTAATTTACAAATAAAAAAGTACACTAATAAGCATAAATTTTTTGTATCTAAGATAAAATAGTTTTGTTTTATTTCATGATACAAAAAAAAAAAACTAAACTTGAATTGAATCCAGTGGATGAAAGCTTTGACTTTTTTTTTTAACAATAAATCACGTTATTTTCTGCGAAAAACTAGGGAATTTAGGTTTTGGCATTAAACTACATAACCATAATATTTCATTAAATTGAAAAAGAAATTGCATAATAGTGTTTTTTTGGGAAAATTGTGAAATACCATTTCAGCAGAAATATATGAAATCATAATTTTAGCGTAAAATCACTGAATGAAGTGTATACGGAAAAAGGCAGAACTGGTTTTTTATTTCAAAATAAAAATTTATAAATTGAAAAAATATAAAGCAAATAAACTAAAATTAAGACAACTAATGGCCATCTTCTTAAATTTATTTCTAAATCGTGCTATCATTCCTTTAATTTTGACAAGCCGCCTCGCTTTCAAACCGCATCTCCCTCACCCGAGTCACCCAAATCGAATTATCGAAACCGCATTTAAATCAATCGATTTGGCGCTTGACTTTATTCACATGACCCCTTATCATTTGGACAGTAAGAGCCGGATAACTTTCCACAAACGACATGAACTTACTCGAGAACGCAATCTCTTCCATGTGTCTTGTGATAAACTCAGAGATAGAATCTTGGAGGATCTCGTCTGAGTGAATCTTTGCAATCTCGAGGAGAACAAATGCATTTGATGTGTTCATGGAGTCGATGAGCTGGTTTCTGCAGAGATCTTGGAGGTATGGAATCCCGTATTTGTCTGCAGCTAGGTAGAGACTATGGACGTGCTGCACCAGTTTTGTTTCCGGAAGCGAACCATTGTACATGAACTCAAGAAACGTCTCTAGCTCACCCTTTGTCATCTCTGAAAGAGTGATTGTCTCTTTCGACGAAGCTTTGCAATCATCAGTTTCCAATATGTTACTAAACACCTTCGATCTTGCTGCCTAATATATCATATAAGTTTAAAAAAAAAAAAAAATCTAATGAAATTTAGACGAAGTAACACGCACAATACATATTGCAATTCTTAAAATTCAAAACAAAAGAAAAGAAGATACCAAAATAAGTTTGTGGGCGGGGATTGCATCGGTGTCGTCTCCTGCTTTGAGCCATACATCGACGTGCCTTTGTTTTTTAAATGCCTTTATAAGTCCCCCAAAGAAACCAACCTTGGTTACAGATTCATCCACTATACTACAAATCTTGCTTACGTTGCTACTCATCCAACAGCAGTGAACATAAATTGTTTTCAAACCGGAGAAGTTGAAGGATCAGATATCAGGGTTTGTAATAGATTTTTTTTTATAAGAAAAACAGAGAAAAAGTTAACGACAAGCAAAAACAAAGTAAAATTTGAAAAACAAACAATAGAGAAGAGTCATGAGAGGATGTACAAAGTGATTTCGAGTGCGTGGAGACTTCTTTGCGATTGATTGGAGGTTACGAACGACGCTGCCATGTGAGAAGAATTTGACGAAGGCTCTCAGCATAAAAGAAAAACTCAAAAACCCTAGTACCAGTATATATATGTGGATTTATAATTTAATTAAATAAATATGTAAATATAATATATATGATTAAAAAATATTAACTGATATTTATAATTAAAAATTTATATACACTGATTATACAATTACAAATAATAGTTATATTTATATTTATTTTGTAGTATAATTACATAAATGCTAGATAATTGTTGATTTTATAATTAACTTTAATAGTATCTTTTATATGAATAAAATTGCATATTTGAATATACTAAATTGGATTAATACGTTTTATTCAAAATCAGAATAAGAAATTTAAATTTTAATAAAAAATAATTAATTATAATATACATGAAAAAATTATATTTTTTATTAAATGGATAACGTGATTTTTAAACAAAATTAAGATCAAAAAAAAATATGATATAAAGAAATATAGTGTTTAGTAATCTTAAATATATTATGTATTAAATTTTTATAAATCTGCTGTTAAGAAATAGAAAGCAAAAGAATATATTTATAAATTAAATGTTAAGTATTAAATATATAATTGATATAAACTAATCTCTAACCAAAGTAATGTTAATAGCAAATGATGTAATTATTCTAATAAAACAATTATTTTTTTATATATGTGTTTTGAGAAATTCTCTTATAATAACATATCAGCATGGTATTCTTGTAAATCATACATAATATAAAAATTATTTTTAAATTGTCTTTCTCAAATAATAATAGAAGATAGTTGTTAAAAAAATAAGTGTTCTGTTCTAATTTGTTTTTTTTTCATTTTATCCAGTTTTATAAACTATAAAATTAAATTTCTAATGAAATAAAAATATTTTTTTTCATTAGCTTTTAGGATTTTTTTTTGGTTTTTTTTCAAATTTTCCATTTAATTTTTTTTCTAGCTCTTGTTTCATTTTTATTATAAACTGAAATTTGTTTCCTTTTTAAAAAAATATATTAAAACAAATTTTTTAATTTCCTTAATCTAAAACTTACTTTTTAATTTTTACTGTTTTTATATTTAGGATTAAGTCTATAATATAATTTTGTTGTATTGTTAATATTATACGTCAAAATCTGATTGAAATTTGTTTTTACCTATGTTCAAATCTGATTGATTGATTTCGCAATGTATCACAATCTGATAAGTTGGTAACTTTGAAACATTCCATTTTATATATTAAGATATTTTATAATATGAAAAAAATTAAAGTAAAATTAAGTCACCCCTTAAAATGTAGAAATCTTTTTGGTCCAGTGGTTCACCAAAAATTCATTAAAAGTTATACACAAAATGGTCCAAGTTTCGATTTTTAGAGTTTCTGCAAATTAATGCAGATTTAAGAGTTTCAGCATAGTGCAACTGTGCAAGTATAACTTTTTATTGAGATCATGAATCCTTGCAAAGCAGATAGCATTGCCTGTTACAATATTGTCTTTGTAGTAGTTTTTATATGTTCTACATTAAAAATTTCATCCATAAAAATATATGATATACAATTTTAGAAATGAAGTTTTCATTGAAATAAACAGATACCATGAAAGAAGAATTTATGCAGTAAATAACTTTGAAAATGACTATTGGATTTTTGCTTTTTTTCTGTATGTAATTGACATATTATTATTATCAATGATAAATTTCTTCAATCAAAATCTGAAAATTAATTAAAATTAAAACACATGAAAAAAACTAAAAATAATAGTCCATTTTTGTATATTACTACTTAACCATTCCTTATTCTGGGACATCATTATTCATTTCTGAGTTTATCGAAATGATCCCTTATCGTTTGGACAGTAAGAGCCGGATTACTCTCCACAAACGACAGGAACTTACTCGAGAATGCAATCTCTTCCATGTTTGATGAGATAAACTCAGAGACAGCACCTTCGAGGATCTCGTCTGAGTGAATCTCTGCAAGGTCAAGGACGTCGAATGCACTTGATGAGTCAATGGAATCGATGATCTGGCTTCTGCAGGTAGCTTGGAGGTATGGAATCTCGTATTTCTCTGCAGCTAGGTAGAGACTATGGACGTGCTGCACCAGTTTTGTATCCGGAAGCGAACCATTGTACATGAACTCAAGAAACGTCTCAAGCTCACCCTTTGTCATCTCTGAAAGAGTGATTGTCTCTTTCGACGAAGCTTTGCGATCATCAGCTTCCAATATGTTCCTAAACACCTTCGATCTTGCAGCCTAATATATCATATAAATATCTCATGAAAGTTAGATGAAGTAACACGCACAATACATACGCAATTCTTAAAATTAATAAGAAAAGAAAAGAAAATACCAAAATAAGTTTGTGGGCAGGGATTGCATCGGTTTGGTCCCCTGCTTTGAGCCATACATCGACGTGCCTTTGTTCTTTAAATGCCTCCATAAGTCCCCCAAAGAAATCCATCTTGTTTCCAGTTTCTTTCGTCATACTCTAAAATACCCCCAAAAAAACATCTTTTAGCACAATGCATCCCTTTAAACAGAGTAAAATGTGATTTCACAGATCCTTAAATGCAAGTCTCTACTTTGCACTAGCTTAGCAGTGATGGAATCTAATTTATTCATCTTTCTAATGGATCCAAACCACTAAAAAAAGTCATAAGAATAGTCTACTCGTGCATTCGGACTGAATATTTTTCATAACTCAAAATCTACCAAAAACAAATTGAAGATAGATTCCTTATTGCAAATCAAGAAGTTTAACAGATATATATATATGAAAGACGGAAGTAGAAGCGAATTCCAATACTAAACTTTAATTATCAGATCATCCCTTTACCTCACCCACACTTGTGTTCTTAAAGGCAACGGGGAATTTTCTGAAATCTAACCCATAAAAAAAAGCGAACGGAAGAACCTTCCGGGTCAAAGTGATTCAATAATATGTTAAACGAGAATCAATGAAATTTACTATTTTTCATAACATAAGGAGCAGTAAGGTATTATATTCTATTAGCTGGCGAGATGATAACTTTCAACAATATATAAGACCATGTACATTAGTAATTCCACTATGAAAGGTTTATTAGAATAGAATATTAATATTTTTTAAAAATAAAATTGAAAATGTGATATTTTTTGGTCCCCAAACCTTTCTCACTTTTTTGCCCAATCCCTTGCTGCCACCTTACAATGATACTATATCGTGAGGTTTGTCCTAAAGATACCGTTTCATTAAAAATGCTTCATTTTTCTATTTTTTAATTGAATTTTACCTATGATTCTGGGCTTGATATCCAACATGATACCCTGCTGTATATGCCCTAATATACTGAGGACAAAGGCTGCAAAAACTCTATTATTTAAAGGGTACTTAGAAACATAGGAAGAGAGATAGGACAATGAAAACAGGGTTTGTAGAATAGAACTTTTTAAAATATTAAATAAATAACAGAGAAAAAGCTCATCACGATAAACAAAAACAAAGGAAAATCTGAAAAACAAGGAAGAAAGGAGAGTCATGAGACGATGTACAAAGAGATTTGAGTTCATGGAGACAGGTTTGCGATTGATTTGGAGGAGACGAACGCCGCCGCCGTGTCAGAAGAATTTGAGAAAGGTTTAAACTTAGAAATATGAAAGTAAATGTGAAAAGTAAAAATAAACCCTATATACAGTATATACGGGTTTCAGCATTGGACCGGGGTTAGGCGGTCCGGCCGACCGGTACGGTCTACGTCTAAAAACCCTAATATATACTGCATATATGTTTGGAACTTGGAAGGTTCTCTTGAACCGCCACTCGCTGGTGTTTGCTCTAATTTGAGGATTTCAGCATTGGACCGGGACTGATTAGTGGCCAAGTCACGGGTTAGGTGGTCCGACCGTCCGGTCCGGTCCAGGTCTGAAAACCAAAATAGAAAGCGGATTTCAAAAGAATATTTCAGAAAATTTATCCTCTAACGCAACAAAAAATTTATCAGATAATTATTTTCAACAGATTTCTTGCAAGTCAAGGAATCTGACATACGAAACTAACGCAACAGAGAATTATTTTCAAAGCTGAATATTACAGAATTGTTTAGGGATTTTAATCGACTCAAAGATGTTGCAATAGAATTACGAAACTTCTAGGGATTTATTATTACAAGTTATTCTCAAGACAAGTTTTCATGATAGTTCCTATATTGGTTTTTGTTTAATGAGGGACGATCATATATGATTGATGATAGTTCAAAAAAAACAAATAAATAAATGAGGGACGATCATATATGATTGATGATGGATCATGTATGCATCCATTAAAGATTATAACTTGAGAAACAACAATCTTTTCGGTACATCGATCGTTGAAATGTTCGAATCTTGTAAATGAATAAATATGCGAAATCTTAATTTGTGTAATTAGCATTCGGGAATCTATGCCGTTTTCCTTACTTCTATCATTGACGGGCACTGACTCCGCCTATCAAGAAAACTAATTAAACTATTTAAATCATAAAAGGATTCAACGTGTGGTTTCAGCTATTCGGATTTATGTTTCTGATGTTTTTAGCTTTTTGATTTTCATTGATATTACCTCGAATATATGTGGATATATATATTCTTTTATGTATTTAATTAGTACATTACAATTAGATTATTGAACCAAATAAAACAACTTACAAACACTTCCTTTTTCGAATTGCATACTTCACCATTATACGTTTTGTATCTATCTGCAAGTCGTAACATACAAAAAGACGTAATAGATTAAGAAATATGGATATGCATTTGGATCAGTATATAATAAAAGAGACTATTTTTTATGGTGGAGCTTAGTAATTAAAAATAATTAATCATCAATTAGTAGATAAATACGTTGGCTAGTAATAGTAGGTAGTTCCATGCTGGCTATAAAACAAATTGTAAATAAAAAGTCAATCATTAAGATATTCGTAATTCATACAGAGTTCATTCCCTTTGGTCGAGATGACTTTTTTAGTACCAAAATAATTGAGATACCCTTCAAACCATAAATATAAATGAGTCGATTCATGTCTCAGGTGATAACGTATTCATCGTTGACAAAAGAAAAATAATAACGTATTTATCATCAAATATTTTATCAGATTAGTCCCTTTTTTATTTTTGGTAAAAGCGTTAATATACTCTTCAGAAGGATTAGTTATGATTCTATGATTAGCGTCAAACCACATACAAGCTGCGGCATGTTAGTCTGACTTGGGGAGCCTCTATATTAAAAAATTAACGCACGTCTTCTTAAACGCAATTAAACATCTCTAACTAATCACAATTCAGTCAAACCATTTTCAATCTTTAATGGGGCGGTTCCAATAGTAATATTCTCATGCCCATTAGCCATTACGATATTTTGAGAATCTTGAATAATGGGAACATTGTTAAAAGTAAAACAGACTCGTAGAAAGTTCTACTAAAAAATAAATTATGTAAACAAACGAATTTGGATAGGATTTAATATTTCGGAAAGGGATTCATTTGTTGAAAATATGTTGGATGTATCAAATGTGGTTAGTTTAATAATATATTAAAAATAAAAGTGTGAAAAGTAACACTTTTGCTAGATTATACGATTATCTTTGACAAGACTAATTTTCAGATATTTTACAGATTCATCCAAAACGGCATGACCATTAAGAAGTCAGCTACGATGAAAATCAGGATATTTAGAAATTTAAAATGATCAATTATCAGATACCGTAACATTTTTCATATGTGTAACTCTTTGTTGATGAATTATACAGTAGATACAGATTTGGTTATATATTCAAATAAGATTTAAAGTCCGTGAACAAAGGTTTTAACATAATAATAGCCAATCATGCTTATTTTTTGCCGACACATACTATTGCATCAATCGCGCTTATTGGGACCAATATAACAACATCAAAGACTAAATCACGGATCGCAAAAATAATTCTTTCCTGTTTGATATAAGATTGCCAAAATAATTGGTATGTGATGCAACAAAATTTAACTGCATTGTTTAAGTTTGAGTTTAATTACTCAGACGACATTAATTATGAGCTTATTTACGAAGCCCATGATTACCAATTGAGTATAGTTTAGCTAACGAAGCAATGTTCAGCGTCTAAAAACGGTCATTTAGACAGAATTTGAGTACATCGCTTTGAGGAAATATAGCATATTAGGTAGGATACATATTATATATAAATAAATGTATAAAAAACAATTTGAGTGCATTGTTTCGATTGCTACTAAGATCCTAGTTTCTGTAAAGAAAACGATGAAGTGATAGTGGATCGCCAATAGGCGTGCAATGAGACGAAGAATAAGTAAAAATAAAATCTTTAATGGTGAATTATGTTAGATGAATAACCAAATTGGTCGATGAGCGAGCGTAGGACGTAATTAAAATAAGGGAAGAAAACCAAAAAGGAACTCTTATAAATGAAATAAAGTCAAAACTAAATGTTATACAAGTCAACGTAGGGAGAGTTCATCATCAATTATTTATTTTCAAAAGTAAAAAAAAAAAAAGTGGTAAAAATTAGAATTTATCCTTCTCTAATTAAGCGTTAGGACTCAACACAAGATTCTCGTAGGAGTCAACGGCGCTTGACGGAACGGCGACCATTACTTTAACGGCGTCACTTCGTTCAGGAACCGGAAGCAACAAACAGTAGCGGTCGCAGCATACCGATCCCACGTGAACCGGTTTTCCCAAACCGAAATCAAGCCGCTCTAAACCGAGGCGTGACCACTGGGACAGTATCAAGACTCCGACCGAGTCAGGACTCGCTTTCGCCTTGCTCACAGCTTCAACCACCGATCTGACGTAATCGTCACCGACTCGTTCCTTGGCTTGTTTCACGAGCATCGTCGCGTGGCTTAATCCTTTCTCCGTCAAGTCTTTCACGGTGGTTTGCGCGCATCCGACGACGAAGGCGTTCCCGTAGAACCCACTGGGTAGACTCGGTTTGACTCGGTCTCGAATGTTGATGCTGAACAAAAGCTTGAGGATTTGATTCGATGGCAAGTTCAGTGATCTCGCCCAGCTCCTCCATACATGTGCAGAGAGCACCTCGAACGATGTGTGTTTCGAATTGGACTCACCGAGTCGACTCGCGAGTTTCTTGAGCTCGGTGAGTTTCTGTCTCTCGAAGACGACCGAGGTCGGAACGAGTCGCTCGGCGTTGAATCGGTTGACGAATCCGCAGAGATCGGGAACTCGATTGAACTCGGGGTGGCTCAACGAGTCACGCACCGGAGACGGATTAAGCAATTGACGATCCCAAAGGTGTTTCCTTTTTAACTCAGTCTGACTCAGTGAGTCTCTAGATAACTCGGCGAACAAGGTGAGAAACTCGGCGCTTCCGATCCCATCGGAGACGCAGTGGTTAACACCGACGGCTAAAGTGGCGCCACCGTCTCTGAGCCAAGTGAGCTGGACGACGAGAGGAGGGGCACCAGCGAGGACATCGATGACGTTGAGGGAGAGAAGCT